CGTCGTGTATATCTCTGTCCGGAACCATCTTGCGTTCACCATGACCCATCTCGAGCTCTGGGAGACCTAACCGGCATAAAGAAACACTTTTGTCGTAAGCACGGAGAGAAGAAGTGGAAGTGTGATAAATGCTCAAAGCGTTATGCGGTTCAGTCGGATTGGAAGGCTCATTCTAAGACCTGTGGAACGCGAGAGTATCGTTGTGACTGTGGAACCCTCTTCTCAAGGTTAATAATTATTAATCTGGTTTTAATTTACTTTTTATGTTTAGTATTTTGTTTAATCGGTTTGTTTTCAGTTTTATGTTCTTAAATTTATAAATGCATGCATGGGTGAATGATGATGAAGATGATAATGATCGTCATGAACATCAATCAACATGGATTTCCTCGTCTGTTCCCAACTTTTAAAAAGTTGGATTTTTTTTTTAAAATTTTTTTTTTAATTGTTTTCTTAGGGTTAGGGTTGTTATGGGCTATTATTCCCAAGCTGAAGAGGAAAAGTATCGGGCGTCTTTTCTGGTGTGAGGAGCTAGGAAGGAGGAAGGTAGTGAGGAACTGGCGAACTGCTCACACGTGAATAATTGCACAAGTAGCTCCCATGGCCTAAAAGAGAGAGAGTGTGTGTGTGGTTTAAAATAATAATAATAATAATAATAATTAGGTTGTATGGATTAGTGAATTGAATTTTATAAGGAAAGGATATTTATAAATCTAGCCAATGAAATGCATAAATGTGAAGTTTTTGTGTATTTTTTGTGTACGGTATTTGTGATGATGAAAGGATAGTGTCTTTCTCCTCGGAAGGCGAGCCTCTGCTATTCTCGCTCATCGTTCACATGTTGCCATGTAAGCAATAGAGCAGGGTCTTGTTCTTTTATGGGTTGGCTACTTGTGAGCAGGTCTTTCGTCCCTCACAGGTCCACCTTTTCATGAAAACGTTTCCAACCTTAGGGTTGGAAATTGTGAAGAGTCCTTCTTCCCCTCTGATAGAGAGAGAGAGAGAGAGAGAGAGAGAGATTACATGAAATGTGAAGAAATGGGATTTCATTAATGGAAAAGAGAGAGGGATTGAAGAGTAAAGAAGAAGGGTTTGAAGAATGTTGAGGTGAGAATTGAATGTGAGGAGGGCTGCATGTTTTGGGTAAAAATACTTGCGCTGGATAAATCTGAGACTTTGAGTTCTTTGAAAGACATTGGATGGAATACATTGAATAGGGGAATTGATGGAGAGGATGAGAAGTTTTTCATGTTTCATGCATAAATTCGTCACTACATTTATTGAAGAGGCAGTCCTAAAAATGGTGGCACCCTCTTCGAAAGGTCAAATTCCTTTTCATATTATCCTACATGCCATTGATTGCTTCTTGAATTAAATGCATTTCTTAGATTATTATCGATTATTTTTTTTTTTTCTTACACAGTTTTAATTATGAAGTGGTGAGATCATTTGAATAATACTGAGATTCAATTAGCTTCCTAATCATGCATTTTAAATTATTAATTTCATTCTCTCCCCCAAAAAAAAAGGATAATTTCAGTGCAGCTTAAGAAATTTTATTTGAAACTGAAAATTTTCCTTTTTAGTTTTTCTGAGCTCAATTTTTCTGAGCTCATATCTGCTGATTTGTGACTGATTTTGAGATAAAATTAACTTGATTCACACTCTTAAACATTAATTTTCTTTTATAGAATTAAACCTTTCTATATAGTTTTTCTGAGCTCATATCTGTTAATTTTCTTTTATAGAATTAAACCTTTCTATATATATTTCTTTTCATCATTTGATTGAGCTCATACATTTATAATTTATGAGAAATGCATCTTCGGCATCTTTCAGCTAACATATTCTAAACATTAGCTCTATTTTCTATATACAATAGATGCTAAAACACCCAAGTTCATTGCTCAATCCTTTGCTGATTTATTTTCCACAATCTATGTGGAATATTTAAGCCATTACATTCCAGCTTAATTAAGGGGACATATTATTCAGCAATTTAGTTTTTCTTTTTTTTTTTCTTATTCTAAATTACACCTCCCTTATTAGCCTAACATTATCTAGACCATCTACAAAATAAAAAGCCAGATTGTTACCAACCATATATACATTTTGTACGCACAGGAAGCCATCCTCTAGCATACAGATAAAAAAATAAAAAAGGCTTATATTTCAAATTATTTCAAAATCCTTCAATCATATAACTCCTGTTCATATATCTATTATCACCCCTACTCATTTTGCCTTGCAGGCACGACAGCTCAATATTTATCATAAATTCTAAAACAAAATGCTAGTCCAATTATAGCACTTCATTTTTTTTCAGTGACTACCATATTTCAATATTTTACTGTTTACACAAAAGTACATTACATCATTAAAATTACATTTTAAGTTAATTATTTTACACTTGAAGGCCAAAAAAAAAAATAATAATAATAATAATCTTTCCACTGCTGCTGTACCTTACAGGCGAGACAGCTTCATCACCCACAGAGCATTCTGCGACGCCCTAGCACAAGAAAGCGCCAGAATCCCCACCAACATCACCAACATATCAAACCACTTATACGGCGGCGCCACCATCAACCTCGGCCACTCTCACCTAAATCCCCACCTCCCACCTTCCTCCCACGCCGATCTCCTCCGCCTTGGAGACCCCCTCATCTCCTCCTCCCAACCCTCCTCATTCCGCCCACCTCCTCCCCCCACATTCTTCCTCCCCAACGATAACTTCCAAAACAAACCACCACCTTTTCACTCCCTAATGCAGCTTCCCGACCTCCAGCCCAACTCCACCGGTCCCTCATCCTCACCCATGCTCTTCAACCCAAATCCTCATCATCTCATGATCCTGCATGATCAATTCGCTGCCAATGCCACCGACCCTCCGAATCTCTACGATCAAATGCATCCTCTCTTCAACACTTCCCTGCAAAACGATTCAGTTAATCTTCCTCAGATGTCAGCAACCGCTTTGCTCCAGAAGGCCGCTCAGATGGGCGCTACTTCCAGCAATAACAGCATTAAAGGATTCGGAAGCTCGTCTTCCACTAGATCTCATGTAGAAAATGGGAATCATTTGCAAGACATAATGAACTCTTTTGCTAATGGAAACTCTGGCATATTTACAGCAGGTGGTGGAGAAACACAAGCAAAGTTTGAGGATTATAATGCCGGATTTTGTCATTTAGATGAGGGAAATTATCATCATAATAATGGGATGACTCGAGATTTTCTTGGAGTCGGGAGCTTGTTAAGAAGTATGGGAGGTGGGATTTCTTCCCAAAGAGAACAGCAGCAGCAGCCGCAGAATCATGGAGTTATTGATATTCCTGGTTCCTTGAATAATACTGAGATGAAACCAGCTTCTTCTAGCAGGTCATTTGCTAGTGGTAATCCTCGGTGAGAGTTAATGAATCTGCAATAATGGGAATAAGAGGAGGAAAATAGAAGAAGTGAAGGGATGAAATGATAAAAATTAGTTATATAAATTGATATCAAGAGTAGTAGTAATGCCTTGATGCTTTGTTTGATGTTCATGAGCAAGAATTTGCAACAGAACTTGTATGTTTTGCTGTTGTTTGTTGATTTTAAATTAATTGCTGCTGCAGGATCGATCTTTTTATATAGACTAATTTATCATATTTATTTAATATTCTGTTCTTTCTCTTATGTGCAGTCAGATATAGATATAAGTATGTTTATGTGTCAATTTCATGATATTGTGAATAATAATATTACCACAATATAACCAATACAGTTTTCTGATTGTGGGTTTTATCCTGTTTATTATTATTTATTTATTTAATTTTATTTATTTATTTATTGGGTGATATTATTAGTACAGCAATTAGAGGCAGGTTAATACTTCTCATGCTCCAATAACTAATTTAATTAACACATTTTAGGCTATTTTCTTATGCTTTGTCTTAGTTAAATTTCAAAATTTTAATTAAATAACCCACTTTTGTCATTCATTAAGTCCTAGTTTTAATCCATAAAATGGTTTTATTTATAGCTCAATCGTCTCTCAAATTATTCAAAAAAATAATTATTTTCTAAAAAATCTTCTACAATTCGTTAAAACATTCGCTTTACATAATTCGTGAAATTAACACGAATTATTGACTTTGGATATCTAGAAGATAGTATAGATCGCACCATACTGGGCATCGTCTGATTCAGACTGTCGTTCACACGTGCGATTATATTTTCTCTAAGATAACATGACAACTTAAGAAACCGAGAAAAAGATCGAAAGAGGTGCATGAATGCATGCAGCACTGTAGCACGTTTGTCAAAACCAATTAGGCATGAAACAGGCTTGAAAAGTCCATTAATTCAAATGAATAATTTTCTACTACTAAACTTCATAGGTATTGAATTTTCATAATTTTATTTTTAGAGAGCATGCTGGTCAAATTTTTGGACAAATTCATGGACTCATTAGTCGTAAGTCAGTATTCTATAAAGTTTGATTCTATACAATTCATATTTTAGGTTGACCGCATGACTCATCTTTGATCAAAAACAAGCTCGATTTTGACTTGTTTGACCAGACCGGCTCTACAAAGGGAACCGAGTAATCCATCCGTTTGTTTGTGGCCTTTTGTGCGGCCACTTTTGTCGCGGCAAACTGTGGAGCACTTTTTTGCTGTGCGACTGTTCCGCATAAATAGTACTTTTGTTTCCGTGCCATTTTGTCCTGGGCTTGGAGACTTGCAGAGTACTGGATTCTGAATAAAATTTAATTATAACTTTTTTTGTACTAAAAAATCTAAATAATTTCGTTTCTAAAATTTATAATATATACGTTAATAATATCTAAATGTAAAAAAAAAATTAATATTTAGAATATTATTTATAAATAATTACTTGCCTTTTGAATTATACATTAATAATATCTAAATGTAAAAAAAAATTATTCAGAATATTATTTATAAATAATTACTTGCCTTTTGAATTAAGAAGAATTATTTTTATGTCTAAACAAATTTTTATCTATAAATAATGATTTTAATTTTGAGTAAATAATAAAAAATATGTGATAAAAAAACAATATGCACATTTGATAATAAATAATTGCTTCTTAGATGCTTATAAATTATATCACATTTTTTATATTTTTGAGCAAAATATTAAAATTTTAAATCTTTAATGGCTCCTTTTTACATAAAAAGCAAAAATATTTCTTTTATTAGAATGAAGAAATAAAATGTATTACTTTTATGCATAGATAATGTCGTGTATTTATAAAACGTAATGTTTAGACGTTAGACATATAAATATATATGAATTAAGAAAATGTAGGTAAGTTTCCTCATTTTTTAATCTTAACTTGATTATTTAAATATTTTGATTTTTTTTTTTTTGAAAATTGAGCTCTAATGATAATTAAATTAAAAAGTATTGGTTAATAAATAATATTCTTTGAAATTAAGGGTCTATTTGGGGCAGCTGAAATTTATTGAAAAATAGTTGTAAAACTGCTGAAGAATAATCAAATACTCAAAAATATGCAGTGCCTATCACAAAAAAAAAAAAAAAAAATGAAAAAAAAAAAAAAAAAAAAAAAAAAAAAAAGTTGCTACTGCAACTAACTTGAACCAGTGACAAAACACAAATTTCAGCAATAATTTAAAAAAAAACGGTCAAAATTTAATTTATCTAAACAGACAAAACTATAATGCAGGAATCGCCGCCCCAAACATACCATCAATCCCTAAATAAAACTCTCTATTAACCACCCTCAAGTCTGGCTCGATTTATAGGATTTTGTTCACATTTAGTCAACATTCATAAAATTCGTCGATAAATTTGGTAGAATGAGTCACGTGCATTCTTGTCGGTACGGATCCAATTATGCCACCAAGAAGCTACAACACAACTTCTTTGAATTTACATATCATGGAAACTGTTCATTAGTTAATTCACTTTTTAAGTTAAATGAGGCTAAAAATTTTCCTTTTGCAGAAAAAAAATTAAGGCTATAATAAATTCACATCTAAACTAAGATTAAGAAAAAATAATTTCTTATTCTTGAAAAAACGAAGATATATTCGTAAATTAAAATTTATATTATTGTTTTTTGCTACAATCGGCAAAATGAGTTTTAATAAATTAAATAAAAAGGTTTTGAGTAAAATAATAATATTGAATTTTTATGAAAAATAAAGAAAATTACAATAATAAGTCTTAATTTCGATTTATTAACAAGACTTCGCTTTCGTGAGTTCTGCCAAAATGCCTGCCATAAATATCTGTTTATATTTCAGGCGACCATCGCCCTTGAATGTTTTAATATTATGGTTTGTAAATTAAGATTTAAATTATTTATTTATTTATTTATTTATTTCTGGAAAGTCGCTTTTTCATTAATTTGTCAGCACCGTAATTTTTCTATTCTTTCACATACTTTCTAATTTTCTTTTCTTGTATTTTAAATATAGCTAGCTTTTTCATTCGTGTAATTTGCCAGCTCCATCGCTGACTTGCTCTCCCTTAGATACTTCATTTTGAAAAAAAAATGTATTTTTGGCTGAAAATATACTATTAACATAATATATACAGAAAATTAGTGGCGGTAGAGTAATGGATTGTTGTTTTAGCATCACACAAAAATTCATCACACAGTCAGATGAAAGAAAATAACTGATAATGACGCCTGAAATTTTTATGTGCAAAACCTGAAAAGAAAAAAATCATGTGGTTTGACTCAACTGAAGAGTGTCATTATAGAAAAATGATTACAGTTGTCACTATGTGTCCCATAGGCGGAAAATGATTACTAGGCTTCTCAAGTTACAGTGTTAACGTGCTAATGAATTTATTGCTAGGAACAGGCGACGACCGATAGCTATTGGCTGCGTCCGACAGGTGGTATCGATGATGGTTGACAGTGATTGACAACATTCGATAGTAGTCGATGAAGATTGACGGCGATTGATGACGGTCAACAGCTATTGGTGATGACCAGCAACGGTCGGCTATGGTCGACGAAGGACAGTGGTGGTCGACGGCAATCGACTAAAATCGATAATGGTTGGCGGTGGCCAATGAATGTCAACGGTGATCAACGACAGTCGACGATGGTAATGCTAGACTTCAGCTTTCTTCTCGAAGATTCAAGTTTTTTTTCCAAATTTCAAGCTCTCCTCACCCCTCATAGGAGGGGTGGGACTCTATTTATAGAGCTCTAGGTGTTGTCAAAGAAGAAATATGAGCCACTTTGATCGGACGGTCTGAAAAGCTTCCTTTGATCAGACAACGTTTTATGGATATTTGAGGGTCTTAACGATGTCGAAATTAAGTGATATTAGCTCATTGGATTTGTCTTCTCTAGAGCTTGATTCAACTATAAACTAGTCAGATTCAACATTCATTGGCCATCCAAATATGCTCAGAAAGCTTTCAAAAGTGGTTTAATGGCTTGATTTGAACTTGATTTGGCTCTGATGAGACTTATTTTAGTACCATTTGGTCTGTCTCGTCGAGTTGGTCATTTTGGACTATAAGTTTGTTGAAATATGAGTTCTGGATGACTTTCAATTAAATTTTGAATATTTTTTGCTCAAAAAATAGTCTCGGGATCCATGTCATGCGTCAAGGTTCATGTTGGATGATGGATTTGTTGATGACGTATCAATATTAATTATAGTTTTACAATATTTTTAGACATTTTGTTACTTATAATTGCACCTTTAAATAACTTTTAATGTTGATTGTACTGTTTAAAATAATAATAATTTTTGTTAATATGGAAAAATCTTTAATTCTTGTAGAAAACAATTTTAGCAACTATTGGCATATTACTGAAAAGTTGTCATAAGAAAAAAATAATAAAGAGATATTATTACTAATTTTTTCTTCTCTTATTGTTGAGGCTTTCCTCCAATTAACATAACCAATTAAAATTTCCCATAAATAATATATCATAATTTGTAGTTGAATTTGGGATCAACATGCACGTTGAGGCCTCTTCTAGGGTTTCGGGTTTCGTGCCTCCACCTTCTCTTTTAACGGTAAACCTAGCCTTTTTGTCTCTTAATTGGTTTTTTATCTGGTTTTAGTCCTCATCGATCGGTGCTCATCATCCTCCTCAAAATTCTCTACTATACAACCATCAACTTTCCTTTATGCGCTGTCAGATGTGAAAATGCATATAATTTTGATTTCATTTTGGACTCTAGTTCAGACCTCATATGGGCTAGTTGGACAGTAAATCAAGTATCAATATCTACGGTGAATGTGGCAACATGCCTGCGAACCTCATCCTCTTGGGTGGTAGAAGTGGATGCTTTGAATGCATAGTAATTAATCTTGTAAATTACTTGAGTCGTCTAGGATTTGTTGTCCACCCAGGCATGGTGTAACAGTCGTTCAGGGATCACGTGTAAATTTGCAGTGGTGGGCTCTCATCCCAACTCTAAAGTCTGTCAATGTAATTAAATATTTAGTATATATTTTATTTAAAAGAATGTTTAATGCAAAATTTAACTCTTACTAGCCTTCTCTTGTACTCTGTATGTGAGACCACTACGCCAGTAAACTTGAAGGCTTTTATGGTCCCACAGTTAAACATCAATTTTGTTTAGCCTGCTGATTCTTCCTCTGGCAATCTAGAGAGTCACAAT